GACATTTTGTATGAGTAACGCTCACCTAATGAAGTTATTAGTGGAGTCAGGCCGCAGTCCAAAAAAAGGTTGCTACACCTGACCAGACATCGGCGATAACGGCGATTGGGATTGGGATTGGTGTTACGGGGTTGGTATTAAGGGGGCCACAGGGTGTCACCTACAGGCCATATACGAAGAGGGTCTTGTCGATTTATGGTTTTAGTTGGATCTTCAGTATATATTCAGCTGAACCTTTTAAGATTACTTGAAAAGAAACATTCATTGGATAAAGCCGGGTTTCCCTTATGATCTCTAGAAAAAAAACCCTAAGCTGTCTTAGAGATAAGGTCAAGAAAAGAAACTCTCTCGTTCAATACTCTCTTCTACTCTCTCTCTCTCTCTGAGAGTGCCGTTTTAAAAAAAACTCTCCCATTTGTAATTGCTTGTACATTGCAGGCCCATATTAAAATAGAGACAATCACAAAGAGCCAAGGCATATTTTAGTTCAAGATAATGAAATAAAAAACCCTATATTCATTTCTGGGTTATGTATATCAATTGTAGAGCACCTCTAAAATTCTCTCTAGCCGAAACTCTCCCAGGGTAAGGCCGTCAAAAATAATTTCCTCCCGGGCTCCATGACAAATGCGACTTCAATAAATGTTTATGATTTGACAAATCAATCGCGGCTACTAATGTCACAATTTCGGTGATTGCTACCCGCATTTGTGTTGTGGTTATTTTTCGTTATTTGGTTATTGGGTTATATTGTCATTTCCGTTCCCCCAGCGTCACTTATTAATTTCGTTATTTGCTCGCTGTCCATTTTATTTATTCATAAATTTTATCAGCACAAATTAAAAACAAATTAGTCGACAGTAGGTAAATAATAATAAAGTGTAATAAAAATCACAGTCGGGGGGTTAGGAGGGGGGGCTGTCAGGAGACAGTCTGTCGATATGCGGCGATAAGCGAACTTGATTTGTTTAATCGAATCGAACGGAAATGATTAAAACTTAATATTCATTTAGTTTATTTTGTGTGTGCTTCTTGTTTTTTTGCTTCTTTTGTTTATTTATTTATTTACTTTTCTGTTGTTGTATTGTAATGACATTTTTATTGTTTTTAATGCGCTTTTAATAATAATTAATTTGCGATTGCAACAATATGATAAACCAAGTAAATGAAGCGAAGAGCCAAAAACAAATTATGTCAGAATGGATTAATTGTGAATGCAAAGTGTGGAGGCAAGGGGGGCATAATTCATTTGTTTTTAAAGCCTTGATGAGTTCTTGATTTTACATGATTTTAGCAAGATTTTTACTGGTTTAAATAAAGATTATAAAATGTAAATGGATCATTAAAAATAAATATATATAGTTTTAATTATATATTTTCACTATAAAAATAAATACATATATATATATGATAAACATAGCTTTAACCATTTACCATTTACTTTACTAGCGGTTAGTTAACCGGTTATCGATAAATTGATGCTTTAGTTTCCCCAACCTTGGTTAGTGGTTAAAAAAGCAATGTGTTTTAACATTCTGCATTTCAAGTAGGACAAAATACTAATACTTCGGTTAACCGGCATCACTTGGTTATTATTTGGTTTAACCGGTACTTTATCTGTTTATCGATTACTACTTGAACTACCTTATTCTACTTATCGATAACTTTATGCTTTAGTTTGGAAAACCTTTGTTTTATTCTGTATTGACAAAATACTGATACTTCGGTTAACCGGCATTACTTGGTTTAACGGGAACTTTATATGTTTATCGATTACTACTTTACTATACTTGCAGTTCACATATTCAAACCAAATTTTAAACTTTAACCATTAAGTCCCATGTAACATCGAGTAGAGCCCAACTAATATTTATTCTCCGATCTCTATGGGCTATAGCAACTGATATTTGCGTAAATGATACGCCTCCGATGTCGCAATCCTGGGCCAATTAGCAATCCAGGGCTTGTGTTTGGCATATATTCCATACAATATAGTATAATTGTATATTATAATCACACGATTTGCATGAGAGAGTAGCCCCAGTAATGCCGATACTAATGATGGCACTACATAATAATCAAATCGCTAATACCGATGGGGAGGGGCAGAAGACCGACCGCCTTCGCCCCTCCCCCACCCACCATTAGCAGTGAAAAGTTGTTCGGGGAATACTCCCTAGGAAAACCTAATAGAAAATCAAGCGCAAGAAAATGGCGACCGATAAGGAGCAGCGAAGGAGCAGGCGGCAAGACATAGAGACGGGAAAATGCGGAAAATGGAAGAGAGAGAGAGAGAGTGAGAGAGAGGAGACAAAAGTCAGCCAGGCAAGCAACGCCCCGCAGCAAATTAAATGAAAATTTGTTTGTGTGTGGAAAAATCAAGTGAAAATTAATTGAATTGAGTTGAGTGCGGGCTACGTTGAAATGGTTTGGGTTTTTGCGCCGTTTTGGGGGGTGGTTGGGGGGATTTTCCGGGTGGTTTTAACTCCAAAGATCGCCAGATAGCAAGAGAAGGAGAAAGAGAGAGAGAGAGAGAGGATGAGAGAGAAAGGTAGAGGTAGAGTCTAAGAAAAGGCCCCGAAAAAAGAAGCTGACGGAAAAGTTGCAAATGGATTTTTCGCTTTTCCTTTAGCATTTCGTGTTTTTTTTTTTGCCAATCACAGGCAATGATGAAGAAGTTGGCCCAAAAAAGTAAAGGGGGTGTGGGGGTGCAGAAAAGGGGACCAGCTCTCTCTCTCTCTTTCTCTCTCTTCCTTTGTCGGACACAAAGGCTCTGTGCCGTCCCTTTCTTTCGGCCATAATTCATTTCCCAAAGACGGCAGCTGCGCATTGAAAACTGCTGCGGAAAAGCAGCGGTGAGAAGAAAAGCGCTGTTCTTTTTTTTGGTCCCATTCCATTGCATATTTAAGACATTATTACATTATAATCGCATAAAACAATCAATAAAATGTCAGTTCCTCACTGCCAGCAGCGCTGCCTCTACCTTTCTCCCTCTCACTCTTTCTCTTTGACTCTTCTGTCACGTCCCCCTCCTTATCCAGGCCCGCTTGTCTTGGCTGGCTGTCTTCTTCTTGCCTTCTGCCTCAAATTGGCCATAATCATATTCATATATGAAATTTCCCACTATTTTTGCTTGCCGTTTTTGGCCACGCCTGTCGCTGCCTAGTATGGCCGTCCCACTCGCACTCATACGAGCATCGTTGCGGCTGCCGTCTCTGGCTGCCATACACACACACACACACACACTGATTCACTTTAAATCAATTTTTTTAACGTTTTTCATTTCATTTTCTCGTTGCCTTCTGTACTGTTGCGCACTGCTCTCTCTCTCTCTCTTGCTCTCGTTCTTACTCTCTCTCGCTCTTTCTCCTGTGGCTCTCTGCTGCTGGCACTTGGACACTCTCTCGCCCTCTCTCTTTCTGGCAGCCTGGGACAATTTAGTGAGGCAGAAAAATACCATTATTGCATTGGCCATTTTTTTGGGTGGGAGCGCTCTCGGCAGAGGGTTTAAGATGGGTGTGTGTGTGCGTGCAGTAGTAAAATAGGGGGTCGTTTGCGGGGGTGTTGTTGCAGTTTCTGCGTTTTTGCGGACGGCGCCTTGGCATGTTTGTTAAGTGAAACCATTTTTCTTTTTATTGCTGCGCTGCCGCCGCTCTCGCTGTCGCTGTCGACTGTGCTGCTTGCTCTGCCTCTGCTGCTGCTGCTGCTTCTTCGTCTGCTTCCTCTTCCTCTTCTTCGACTCGGCTGTCGGTGTGCTCGAGTGTTCTTTTTCGTCTTTTTCGTCTTCTTCGTTTTGTTATTTTCTCGCTTTGGCGCACATAAATTTGAACGTTAATGATTTTTGCTTGCAGTCGCGCATGCGACCCAAAAACAACAACAAAAGTGAGTGACCAGCAAGTGTTGAAAATGAGTTTTATGGCTATGTTATTGTTGTTGGCGCTGCCGCCGATGCCCGATGCCGCTGCAGCAGCAGGTGTCGCCATCTCACTTTTTAGCACAGACTCAAACCACGGCCAGCCAACCAACTGTAGCGGTGACACTTTTTGTTTTTCATCTTATCTTCTTTGTTTTGTGTTCCCTTCCCCACACCCATGCACAGACACAGACACATGTGCACTTGACTTTATTAAAACAAACACACAATGACAATAAGAGGAAGAAGAAGCAGCAGCTTCGCTTTGTCTCGCACACATTTTTCATTTAAACGCCGTTGCCCCGCCACCGCCGCCCGTTGGCCTGTTGCTGTCCCTGTCTTCGCTTCCGCGGGCACCTAGAGGGCCGTCTCGCTCGCACCGCGACTTGCCGCAAACTCCGCAAAACGCAAAAGGCGTCATTTTAATTCGAATCAATTTGTTTGTCGCCGCCGCCGCGGTCGCTGCATATTGCACAGTGGGCTGAGCTGTCACGATTCGCTCCACTGTGCAGCGCCATCACCTCCACCTGCTATGCCTCCGAGGATTTCTCAAGGATACTGGTTCTGTTTTTTCCCCCCTTTTTTTTTGTTGTGTGTGTGCAGTGCGCGTGTGTAATGAAATTTAAAAGGTAATTGACCCACAGTTAGATTTAACAGCAGGACTCGATCAGTTAATAAAATAAAAACTAATATAATACATTACAAATAATAAAATTATAAATAATACTACTAAAAAATATAAAACAAGTGATCTAAACCGTTAACAGAATGCTAAAAATGATAACAGTGCGAAGATTTTCGGGATTTAAAAAATGAACTTAAGAAAAAGGTAAAAATATCAAAAGGAGATCAAGAAATTAACAGCTAAATGGAAAATTAACTGGATGTTAACAAAATCGAAGGAAAATGCCCAAGGAAAATATCAAGAATTCAACCAGAAGTTACCAAGAAAACACAAAGTTAAAAAGAGCTTGCCTCAAATACAAAATAAGGCTTAGACACGAAAAACGAATGCAAAGTTAACCTAAAGTTGGTCCAAAGTTAACCCACACTTAACCAACACAGTTAACCCAAAGATAACCCAAGGATGGATCAGCTGATCAAACAGCTGCAAATGGCCGCAGCTGCTCAGGCGCAGGCGCAAGGTCCAATGACCGCACATCCTCATCCGCATCCTCATGCAGCATCCGCCTTGCAGCTTTATGCGGCAGCAGCGGCCGTGAACCTGCGAGTACCAGGCTGGTCTCCATTCCTCAGCCTGCCCGATCCTGCGGTATCCTCAGCAGCATCGCCATCCTCGCCCGGCTACAGCTCGTCCTCCGTATACATGCTGCGTCAGATGGCACTGATGCAGCGAGCGAATGCCGCCGCCGCAGCAGCCGCGATTCGTGATCGGGACCTGCAAGGAGATCTGCAGGATATGCAGCAAGTGCAGGATCAAGAAAATCTGATGGAAAAACCAAGGCAACAGGAAAACACTGAACACGAATATCATGAGGGTGAGTGAAGATTGGATAAAGAAATGTATTTATATTTGTATACATTTAATTGGTATTTTAGGTAGATGGATTTATTTATACTTTATTTAAATTTCCCATGAAAAGTATCTTTCATATATAAAATATTATTTTTGAGAATTTCCCATCAAAAGTATCTTTCAGAAATCACATATTTTATGAGAAATTTCCTATATTTGTATATAGTTAATTGATATTTTAGGTTGATAGATTTATTTATAAAATAAGAATACTTTATTTAAATTTCCCATCAAAAGTATCTTTCAGATACACCACACATTCTTTTTGAGAAATTCCTATTAAAAGTATCTTTTACAGCCAAAATATTCTCTAGTCCTGAATAATTACACACACAGACACACACACACAGACACTCTGTACTTAACTAATTCCCCGTCAGGAGGATCGTGCAAGGACACTCCCCCCAATTGAGGTTATTTATGAGCTGCAACGTGGAAACTCCTCTATTCGCAGTACTATGTATATATCCTGGCCGCGCACTCATTTGTTCATTCATTACATTCATTAACTTTGGCACAGAGAGCCCGCCCGGACACTGGTCCGCAGATAATGCAATTTTCCAAATGACCAAATGGCCGCGAACAGAAAAACAAGTTTTCCCGGAAGCCGGAGCCCCCCCGCGCGCGCACTTTATTCAATTTACCAATAAAATTTCAATCGAATTGCTCCTTTTAATCAATTCACTGCACACACTCGCTGTGTGTGTGTGTGTGTGTTTGCATGCATAATTCGTTTGTTTTTATGTTTTTTGATCAATTTTTAATCAACAACAACAACAGCGACAACGAGTAGGAGCAGCAGCTGCGACAATAGCGTTATTTGCCTTTAGGCCACATTTTAATGCGTCTGTGTGTGTTAGCCGGCTTGTAATTGATGTTGTTGTTATTACTGTTGTTGTTGTTGTTGTTTTTGGTGTCTGGTTTGTTGATTATGCGCGTAATTAAATTTGGCCAGCAAATGTCCTGTGTGTGTGTGTGTGTGTTTGTGGGTTTTGGCCAAAATGCAAAATACTTGGTAACAAAGGTAATTTTATTTTCTAGAGAAAAAATAAAGGGAATATATTTGCAAATATTTAGTTAATTCTTAAAAAAAGGGGAATAACATTTTAAAATAAATCCAGAAAAATTTTAAAATTAACAAATACAACATCCTTAAAAATATAAATAAATATTTTTATTATTTTTAAGTCTCTTATTTAAATTATAATGTATTTTTAAACATCCTTACAAGTCGAACCTTCTGTCCGTTTGTCCGTCGCTCAGTCCTTTTTGTCCGTATGATAAATCTTCATTAAATTCAAATCTAAAGTAAAAAATATATAAAAATTAATAAATAAAAAATTATTGCATATGTTTAAATTTCGTTTGTAAAAATAAGCAATATTTTTTTTTATACATATTGTAAATTTCGTATTTTAATTTTCATTTTTTATTTATATACAAAAAGTTACTGAAAAAATTACAATTAATTAAACCCTGAGCAAAAAAAGCCATGATTGATGAACAAATTGATGAATTATAGCTCTAAAATAGTTCCTTATTTGAGGTCTCTGTCGGAAAACTGCAAAGTGATGTGGAAATTGTGAAATTGTGCACCTGCAATCGGGAAATGGGAAATGCCATCCATGCCTGGGAAGTGAGCAGTGACAGGTGGCAAGTCTGCTCTCTTTTTTTGTTGTTGTTGTTTTTCTTCCTCAATTGCTCTGCCCAGTGGCCGGAGTCACGCCCAAAACCGGAAAACGCCCCTCGATTTCCACAATTTCCTCAGTCTGTTCTATTTTCTCTTTTTTTTGGCAATTGAACTACTTATGAGCCGCATCCAATTCGAAGTGGGAAAACTCTCCGAATTGGATGTCTTGCTGTGTGTGTGTGCCTCATCCCTATATTCCTCCTACTTCTCTGACCCCCCACCACCTGATTTTCCTCGACGACGGGAAATTAGCTGCCATTAGTCATTTTTATTGTTTTCGGTTGCGGCCCCGAAAAAAAAGAGAGCTCAAGTCATAGAAAAAATCAAAAGAAAGAGACAGATAGAGAGAGAGAGAGAGAGAGGGAGAAAGAATTGTGGAAATTGGGCAGCCCAACAATTTGTGGTAGCAATTTTTCTTAACATTTTTCCTAGGCCCTCGAAGAGGTGAACCCAACAAGAAAAAAGGTCGAACGAGAAGCGAAATGTCTTAATTATTTTTGGTAACTCCATTCTCCGTCTCCTTCTTCTCCTCATTTTCCTCCCTGCCCCTGCTCCCCCTTCCTCTTCCACCCGTGCCTAAACATACAATTTTCGTTTACGACATTTTAATTAAGTTTTTACCCATTTTCCTCTGCTTGTGGAAATTGGGCAAATTAATAAGAACGCCATTGGCACGCCCCGTCAGGTTTTCCCTCTTTACCCTCTTTTGCTTTTGTTTTCTGGCTTTTTGGCTTTCTGTATTTTGGGTTCTTGGGGGCCCCCCTCCCGGCCAGCGATCATCAGGCTCTGAGCATCGGTGATGAATGAATTGAGCCAGGTGATCCCACGTGATCCCAGGTGATCTGCTCTCTTATGTTCGTCGATGCTCATTAGACATCGCTGACCGCGAGCGCTTCTGGTAATTGCCATAATTTCGGGAGGATGGGAGAGAGAGAACCTACTTCTACTACTGGGAGTGGACCTAGACTGTAGATTAATTGTGATTGTGTCGAGTGGAAAATGAAGATGAAAGCAGGTTACTGTTACACTGCGAGGAAACTGGGTAAACATATATTTTAGGGAGCTAATTATTAGGGAAATTTTAATAGAAACAAGGGGATTTTCAAAGATATTTATTGATTGTATTATATTTAGGAAATTTAGAATTCTTTAAGGGTATTTAGGATATTTGGGATATTTAGGATATTTAGGATATTTAGGATATTTAGGAAATTTGGGATATCTAGGATATTTAGGATATTTTGGATATTCCGGATATTTTGGATATTTTAGATATTTTGGATCATATTTAGATAAAATCCAGATATGTGACAATTTATTAGGGAAATTTTAATAGAAAGAAAAGGGTTACCAAAGATATTTATTGATTGTATTATATATAGGAAATTTAGGATATATTTGGAATATTTGGACTTGGGATATTTCTGATTATATTTAGGATTATATTTAGAATAATATTTTGGATCATATCTAGAATCATATAAGGAATCAAATATGGGATCATATTTAAGATCATATTTAGGATCATATTTAGATACAATCAATTTATGTTACATTTATAGCCCCATTTAGAACCCATTTAAAGGGCAATTGAATGCTGCTCTCCGTGAATTCTCCCAGTGTAGACTCTAGGGTCCATGGACGAATTCGATCCGAAAGATTTCTCTCGCCCAAAAAGTGAAAGATTGAGTGGTCCGAAAACAAGACTGGAAGCCAGAAAAGCCGAAAGCGCACAACGAGCTCCCATCAACATCAGCGACTAATGGGACTCTTGTTTCCCTCTTTTTATATATACGTTTTTTTTTTGTTTTTTATGTTTTTTATTATTGTAAGAGATTTTGGAAGGTAGAGCGGGTCGGTAACGGTCCCAATTTCCACAGTGAGGTTTTCCTTTCGGCTAATTAATAAAGCCCTCAGAGTGGGCACTCGCTTGCACTACTAATTGGTCCGATCGTCAGGGTTGCCGCCGCCGCCGCTGTGACCGCCTGATGAGCTTTTGACGAGCGTTTTTGGCCCGGAAAATGATAATTATTTAAGTGGGCGCCCATTTAGGCGATTGCCAAAAAACGAATTGGGAAATCAGAGCGAGGCGAGGTCGAGTTAGAGGAGTCCTACGCCCACGAGCGCATCCCATCCTTGCATTTGCATTAGCCTTTGCATTTGCATAATTTACGAGGGCGACAACCCTGGCCGGTGGCCATAAATTGTTGCCTCAAATGGCAGCCGGCCAACACAGCGCTGCTGCTGCTTCTTTCCTTCCTCTTAGCCCGTTTTTTAGGCCGACTGTGAATGCATTTTGGCAATCGGCTGACTTAATTTACCCCACGAAAGCCCCCTTTTGGTCTCTAGTCTCATTTTTCACTATCACCCTCCCCCCCACAACCCTTCACTTGGCTAATAAAAATCAAAAGGCGTTTTGTTCTCTAAACTTAAATTGAAAACACTTTAGGCCCCCCACCAAAAAATGGGAATAAAAAAATAAATACCGGTAGAAACCAAAGGATAAACACTTCAAGGGGCGGATTTGGCTTAGTGTCCCGTATCACCCCACCTCCCACCCTCCCCCATCCTGGCCCATCCATTCTGGCCACGGTTGTACCGTTTAGCACAAAGATGGCGGCGCTAGATAAAAACATTTTTTGCCTAAAATAAAAAACAGCTAAAGTCGGGCGAGGAAAAAGGGGTTACAGGGAGGGGGGACAGGGCCACTTGACTTGTTTTCCATTCTTTTTTTTTCTCTTGTTATTTTTCTCTTTGTTGTGTCGTTTTTGTGTGTGTGCACGCTGGCCATTTACAGTTTTGAGGCGTAATTCTTCTTAAATGCCATTACCAGTGCCACGCCCCAAAAGCACACCCCCGCCCTCGAATTGCACAACACGTTTCTGGCGATTAGCAAATTAGGGTCGACCCAGAAAAGCAAAAGGAAATACAACAGAAAAAGCACCAAAAATGAGACCCGAAATTGGTAAATTTATTGGACTCCAACCTCGCCTGCTTATTATTTAATAAGTCTGGCCGGGAAAATGGGGGGTTTCGTTTGGGAAAATTATATAGAATGGTCAATCAATCAGGCAGACACATACCCTCTGCATTCTGATTCAGTGTTTTTTTTTTTTGTACCCACTTTGTTTGCAATCTGTGTCGACAAGTGTCAAGAAATCAAGGCAATTACACGACCCAAGTTGCAGATTTTCCGGCGAAAAAGGGAAGTACGCTAAGCGGAAAAGCCGCAGGCACGTAGAATCGGGCGTTTTACCGCAAAAGTTAAGCCC